GAGTGTGAGTGTGTGTGTGTGTGTGTGTGTGTGTGTGAGAGTGTGTGAGTGTGTGGGTGAGCAAACCCTCTTTGGGCTCATTTCCATCAGCTAAAATGGGAAAATCTCTGTGACAGTCAGACCAAAGCATCTGTCTTGAGCGGTAATGCCTGCGCTTCATCCGCTCCTACTTCAATTAGTCCCACAAATAGGCCAGTGTTTGAAATAATGAGTCAATTTAATGACTCTAAATCCAAAAGGTTTTGTCAGAAATGAGCAGCGTTGCCTTCTAAATCAGAACAGGCATTAGCACTGGCCCCTAAGATAAATTAAAATTGTGTTTCGCTAATAAAACGATGCTGTCCGTGGATCCGTTTACACAAGTGCAGCTTTTAAGCTTGGCCAAAACAAATATGAACGGATTTCTCTGCAGTTAGCTTGCTATACACTAATGAATTTGTGCTTGAAAGCTGCTATTTAGCTCAGCGCTACACTCCACCTGAGCTCCAGTGCTGTAAACATTCATTTCAAACTTTATTTTACAATTGTTTTCTGATAGTCCTCTCAGTGTGGCTGTGCCTGAAAGAGAACGTTGATTCATGTGTTAGAATTCAGCAGTAAAAGCCAAGTATATAAAAGTTGTGTGTGTATAAAATGTGTGTGTGTGTATAAAATAAGGAAATGTAAATAAGTTAATATCAAAATAAATGAAATAGTAATATAAGTTTATAATAGTTTTAAAATAAAAATATCTGAATATATGAAAAGTTAAATAATATTTTACAACATTATATATAAATAATAATAAAAAAATAAGATTAATTGTTTGTCTTTTTTAATTATATATATATATAATGTAAAAAATATATAATTTTTAAAAAGATGAATTCTTTGTCTTTTTTATTTGTTTCATTGTTATTTATATATATATATATATTAGGGATGTAACGATTAACCGCGAGCCGGTTGTAAATCGATTTAAATATGTGACGATTCAAATCGGTTGAGATGCTAAACAAATTGCGATTCAGTTAGAGGTAGGAGTTTATATGAATATGTATGTCTGTAGGGGAACTTACTGTCTTTAGATGGTATTTTTTCTTTTCCTCTTGCCTCTGTATAATGCATATTAAAGTTCATAAGTGCAGCGCTGCTTTGT